CCTAGATGCACATGAAAATATGATCCTAGCCTATGTAAAATATTACAGATTTTTTTTACATCACACCTTCCCCTGTTTTCACTGTTTATCTGTAAGTGCCATTACTTCAGTGCCAGTGAATCATACAGAAACTTCTGCACTGGGATTCAGTGCATGACTGAAACAAATAGTAATACTGATAAATCCTGTCTTAAACTACTTGAAATCTCAAACACACGGTTAAGGGTTTGCCAAGGACAAGAGCTTTATGCCTTTGCACACGTACAGGTTTATTAAAATTCAGGACCATTTATGAGTAAATGTAACTATCTGGAGGATAGTTATTATATAGCCTGATCTGAAATGTCAGAGACTGAAAGAGTCTGTGCTCCAGACCGAAATTAAGAATACTATGAAAAACATAATGCTCTTAACCCTGGGACTCCTGAAAGCAGTTGCAAAGATCTTTGACTTCAGTAGAGGCAATTTTTTCCTGAGTGCCTGAGGTCTTTTACAGTCATGCTGTGTACTGCAATTAGATGTCATTCAACTCTGATTCAGTACTGATATATTGATAAAGAAACTTGGCTGAAACTGAAACATGATTAGTGGCTGCCTAGATCCTGTGATCAGCTTCAAGCTCGTATGATGCTTGGGTGGTGAAGTAAGAAGAGCCAAAAGAGCCAACGTAAAGAAACTGGTAAACTAGTTTGATCCCTTTTCCTTGTGCAATGTTCTTATATGGAATTTGTGAGGCATTAACAAGCTGAGACATTCAGGAGTTCCTGGGTAAAGCATAGGGACCTTGAAGGTCATGAAACTTTAACTTTAAAAATAATTTTGATGAGAAAGATGATGAGAAACAGTCCAGAAGGCTTTCTTTGGCTTAGGTACTTCAGTGACTTTGTAGCAATGGTCTTCACACTAGTCACACTGTCAGCACACTGACTTTTTTGCTACTCACAACAGAAATTGAATATTTGGCACCTATAATTGGAAACAAGTATAGGTATTAGTATTCATTGCATAGATATTAAACACCCAATTATAGGACACAAGAATTTTCCTTGGAA